TTGGTAACAACATCAAATGTTTGAGGAGAATCTTTGGGAAAGGCGTTGCACGTGATAAAATTTCGACATTAAATTAATTTTCTTAGAAATCTTCTGATATGATAATTAATTTTCTTAGAAATCTTCTGATATTATCATCATATCAAGCTTATACTTCATCTGTTTCAAAAAGATTATCATTTCGCTTTACGTATTTTTCGTTTTCAATGGGATTTTTCTAATGCGTTTCTTATTTATGTTAAAAGCTAAACTTCATTGAGTTAAATTAAAGACATATTTGTATGTTTATTTTTATTCATTTGAAGTGTGTAGAAATGATATTGTTTGCGAAACGGAAGGAGTAAGTTTTTAATACTTTGTCTATGTTGAATGTAAATATGTTAACAATTTCTCCTAGCGAAATTGTAGGTTCAAGACTCATGCTTCACATAGATACTTTTGTATAATAAAAAGAAAATAATTTGTATGAAACAGGAGCACACACAATAGGAACAGCACGTTGCGGTGTGTTCAGTCGAAGGCTCTTAAACTTCACCGGAAAAGAGGACACAGATCCTTCCCTGAACCCTAGCTACGCCTCCTTACTCAAATCCCAGTGCTCCGACAAATCTCAAAGACTCAACTCTTCTGCAGTGGTCGGAATGGACCCTACCGGATCTCTCACCTTTGATGCCGGTTACTTTGTCTCTCTCCTCCAACACAAAGGACTCTTCACCTCCGACGCGGCCTTGTTGACTGATCCCTCCGCTACTTCCATTGCTAGTGTTTTCCGAGACTCCAACACTTTTCTTGCTCAGTTTGGTCAGTCTATGATCAAGATGAGTTCCATCAAAGTCCTTATACTTGGAGATGAAGGTGGCGAGATCCGCAGAAACTGTAGAGTCGTCAACTAGCAAAATCACTTTTCATCCAAATGGTTACCGTAATTTGATTATCATGTAATCATCTTTGAGATTTGTTTCTCTTAATTGTTTTACAATATTCTCGATGTATACAAGTGGAAATGTATCATGGTTATAAAATGGGTACTTTACCTTCGGCGCATAATAAATTATCAGGCCAACTTCCATAATATTCGGGAGTTGTATTTCAATGGAAAAAGTATATCTTTTTGTAACCAAGAGGTTCGAGTCTTGGGCATGTAGATCCCTCAAACCAAGTACTAGAGCAAGTTAATAATTTGTCCCCTCCCAGACAAGGAAACTCGAGTCTGAGACCTTGGAAGTCTCCTAGTGCACACTACTAGAACTACTGAGGTGGGTCTCGATGATATAATTCAACTCATAAAAGTTTCCTCAAATTGTTAATGGATAGATTGAATACTACCTTGGAAGATCTATTGTTCGAGCAAACAACTCTTAAAACACCCACCCACCTTCTCATATCCGGAATGGCTCCATCAAGGTAGTTTCATCCATCGAGGATATTGTACATAACAGACAGATGATTTCTTCACAGCAGCCACGGAGTTGGCTTTGATGTCGTTAAGAATCTAAGAATCTCCAACGAATCGGTTGAACCGAATGAAGGTGTAAGCGAATTAATCTCAATCAAAGGGAGGTTCTTTAAATTAGCCAGTAGGGGCAACTAGATGTTGAACTGTTTGTGGTTTCCTCTACATATGTTGCAACCCACTTATAAGCTTATTCTTTTGTTTTCTCTATGTATACATATGCTACAAATGCTCTGTGATTTCCAAAATTTGGTGTTCAATCCCAAGAACACAAATACCAAATTGATCAAACACACAACATTTGGTAGCATCCAAGCATATAGACCAATTTATCTGTTTTCCACCTATATATCCTCGAAGATCACTACTAACAAATCTCTAATTCTTTGAATCCGAAAGATCATACCGCAGCTCAAATTAAGTAAACCTTAAAGATGTTTCATTTAACAAAAAGGGTTTTTTCTCAGTACAACATTTCAGTGATACAGAGAATCATCAATGCCAACACTTCCATAACCAACAAGAACAAAGAGAAAGAAACAACCTTTAAAAACCTTAAAGCAAAAGGAAATAGTTCGATGG